CATTAGGTTCTTTCTGTCTACTATCCATTTTGAGAGAGAATTAATATGCCTGGTAAATCTAAATCAACTGAAAACACCACCCCAGATTCCGGCTACAATAACAGCAGCTCACAGACAAAAACGAACACGCAAAGCTCTTCAAGTAGTCGGGAATGTAAGCGCCTTTGCGACACTATTGCGTTTTTCGGTTTTAAAACATCTAACGAGCTTTTCCTCTCTGCTATTTCAGCGTATCATTCGAGCTGTACTATTCTATGACGAAGAAGGTAAGCAAGTGTCCATATCTTTACAATGTGATTATCCGTATATAGCTCACAACTCTTTCAATGTTGCTGCTCGTCAAAGTCATCCAAACCGCGCATGGTCGTGTCAATATATCTGGCGTCAGCTTAGTAAGCATCATTACAGTCGAGTGTGAGTTTCCTCCAACTGGGCGCGTTACAATTTATCTCGCCGAAATGCCACCAAAACCGACGCCAGAAAAGCCGCCAGAAAAGCCGCCACAATCTAAACTAAGGCCTAACGTCACTCCCGATCCAGGTTACAAACCGCCTGCTAACCAACAGTAACAGTGTAAGTTCATATACGCGCGCACCTGTGGGTAAGATCGTCTTTCTCTCTTCCCGTTTGAACCATCTTACAAGCGTTTATTTCTTCCAGATCGTGTTCTGAAGAAGACGTAAAGACGAAAGTAAGAAGTTTTGTTATTTTTCTACTTATTAAACGATGTGGTTTAGAATTGAACTGGTCGCTCAATTCAAAATGGCGGACCACGTGCTTCTTCCTTCAAGATGCATCGAATTGAGTTAGCACGATTATTTGTTATTACAAAAATTGGTTCAAAATTCATATACTGTATCTATTGAAGATTTGCCTCTTTCGAACTACTATTTAAGATCTGGTTTTGAAAAACTGTTTTGTATAAATGTAAGCTTATGTCTGAGTATAAAGCTTTGCTCAATTGTTCGAGCAACATGGCGGCGGATTCACTCGCTGTCTTTCCAGCAGTCATTACTTGATTTCGAACCAATTTTGCTGACGATAAAAAACATGGCATAGTATAGAACGGAAAACTAGTATTTGAAATGAAAAATGTCCCGCCTAAACCGCGTAGCAGCGTGATATAATTTAAGGTTATATTTAGAAAGAAAATCTTCGGTACACGGCAAGGTCGGTTCAATGGTCAGCAAAAATCAACTTTTTCTCGGTGTTCAATCAAGCAAAAAAATTGAATACAAAAACTCCGCTCCCGATACGCGCCACGTATGTTTTGAAAGTGTGGTTCTGAAATAAATTGTGCTTGCCATACGTTTTTATGACAAATATGAATCTTTGGGGTTACGAATAGGACTGAGTGAACGAGCAAGCGTCTTAGAATCAGTAACCTTTTAGAATGCCTGGAAAATCTAGAGCAACAGCTAATTTGCCTCTTGATGCTGGTTATCAGTGCGTCAGACGTGTTCAGCAAGTAGTGGAGGGATGTCAGGGATCTCTTTGCCAAGTTGCAACTCGCGCAAATCGACAAAGGCGTAGAAATCCGCGTGGAGGTGTTTCACTCCTGCCAAGAAACCTTCAATGTAGTGTATCTATAATGCGTGTCGTTTCAATTCGTTTTCCCTTTTCTGGCACATCTAACACGGTTTTTCTTCTCTATTTCAGCATGGTTCGCATCCTGTACGATACTTTAAGAAGGTGAGTTGTTGTAGTCAGCTTGTTTCAAAAGCGAAAGTCAATCTTTGCTAGTGTTCTGCCACCCAAACCTTAGACACAAGAGAGCGCTGCGCTTCACAATTATACGATTCACTTAATTTCGAATTGTTAGCGCAAAGAAATCATTTCATTAGTGCATTTAATCTCAGTTGTGTCGATTCGATTTAGCTATTTCAAAGGCTGCAGGTTTCGTTCTTCGACCAAGAATTGCTTACACTGCTCATTTCCAGAACGTCCCTGCAAAGCAGCTGAAAGTGATATCTGAACACAAAGTTCGCTTTATTTTCATCGAAAATCATTACTGTTTCCAAACCACTTCATAAAATCACAATTTTAGCAAAATGATATCGATTGTACACCACAAATCTTACTTCCTGATAAATGTTAAGGGATGGCGCATACTCATTTTGTCTTACTTATTCAGTCTCGAGGAGAATTCTCTCGCATGTTTAACTCAAAGACTTCGTGAAAACATCGATTTCTCAGGCATTTTACCTCCATTAATTTTTTTTAAGTTTAAAGTAGTTGGTCTATGTTTCGAAAATTGTTGTCAGTGGATTAACACAAGGAACTTGATGAATGCACGCGGGATTTTTGACATCGATGTGGCTTTAATAGTTTCTGACCACTAAGTCCTTTGTTAGCAAATAGAAAACTTAGATCTGATTTAGTGATCTCAACGTTCAACGGAGGGAGAACATTTGCGCGCTTTCGTATGCTTTACAATGAAGTCAAACGAAGAGGAAAGAGCTAGCTCATTATGTCGATAAACACAACTTAAATAAAGTGACTTCCCACATTGCCCTCGTGTCTCTCTATACTCTAGCAAACATGGTCTTGGGAATCAGAAATGCATTTCTCGTCTCCCCTAGGTTATGTCTTTGCACTGTTAGTGTTAGGACGAGATAATTAATAAGAATATCCTGTTTTTCAGAAACATGACACAAGAAAGAGAGTAAATGAAGCCTAGCGCACAAGGACCGATGTGTTATCTTTTCTGTTCTGTTTTCTTCAAGTTTACTTGTGACAGTTTGCACTCCTGTTTTGAAAAACTTTAAAGACTCTTGTACTTTGTTGGAACATTACTTTGTATCAGTAGGAAAAGCTATAAATTCGTTACAGTTTTCATGAGATTATAATCACGTCTGTTTAAGTGCATGCATCATTTTTAAGTTAAATTGCTTGCGTACAAGAAAAGCATCATTTATTCTTTCATTTCTGGTGTGAACTGTGAAACGCATGATTTTTGTAGACAGAGCCATCATGAAATAAATATTGTGAAGAAAGTGACTTCAGTTCTGTTTTATTTACGGCTTACACGTGGTGTTTCTTAGCTTATAGATGAATGTGAAACATTGATATTCCAAGCATGAAAACAGACCACTTGAGAAATGAATTCAACTTAGCTTCGCACAAGAAATTTTCAATAGGGTAATTGAACTAATGTCGAGCATAAACTCCTGTTAAAAAGCTTCCACACTGTGCAAATCTTAGTATTCGTTAAGAATCTAATGAAACTAACACAAATTTAGTGGTATTTTGTTGGAAAATTTCACTACAAGTATGATTAAACAGAAAACGCGCTTTTCTAAGGTCTAAAATATGCGGAGTAACCATATTTTTGTCAAGTAAAGCACCTGGGGTGCCACATAAATGAAAATTATGTATTTCAGAACAAAAATATGCAAAAATAGAAAGCGCGCTTTGTCAGCGTTTTCCAATATGCAATGCAAGCACATTTATTTTGGTCAACCAACATTCCGCCACGTCTATGGAAACCCAATACACACCCCATTCAAAGAAAGGGCTTAAGATTGATTGGCAGATTGATCGATCGATTGACAGCGATGAAAATAGATGTGGAAGAACTGAGATAAACTGGCTTTCTATTGCGCGCAAAGGTTACAATAAGATTAATTCACTTTGTCTGGATATAACTGGCGCGGGCAGGAATCCGAAACAACTGAAATAAATTTGCTTAGTCCTATTTGCGCACCGCAAACGAGATAAAAATGAAGCCAGCATCGTTGCGCATCAACAAACATCTCCAAAATTCACATTCTTATCTAATTAACAAGTAACAACAGTCATTGTGCGCCTCGTGAACCGAAATGTTCCTCAAAATCGTTCGGAGGAGTAAGTTCCTTAACTGTCTGAATCGCAACCAAACTAGGCTATTTCCCGCCCACAAGGAACAAAGATGCCATGATATGTTAAAATTTTGTGACCCGCACATCTTCGAAGCGTTATGAACCACGGTGCGACCGCGTTCGGGGGGGGGGGGGGGGAAAA